CCAAGGCACATGCCGACACACGGCGCCGTCACCCCTCCCCCCCTCCTCCTCATCCCGTCCTATTTACGCTCCTGGTAAGGTCATGCCTGATTTGAAACAACAGTAAAGAACTGGTTTAATATGTAAACTTTTATTTAACACTGCAACCAATTTTTAACTCTTTCACCTCTCCCTCATTCATTGAAGAAAAGTATCAGTGAAAATCTATTGCAATTGCAAAAAACAAATGTTTTGACAAGAAAAGAAAAAGAGTTTAACTAAATTGATCTAATGATTCAGTTTTGCTATTTTCCTAGATTAAACATATATATGCAAATGATTTATTAGCTTTATAGAAAATCAGAGAGCATACTCGAGAAAATGATCATGTTTATTATTCAAATATGTTGAAGCTATTTGTAATTAAAAAGCTACAATGTCGTCATTCCAAACTCACCTGTCACATGTATTTAAGAAAATGAAAAATTTAATCAAAAACAATTAATTATAAAATAAGACATTTCAGATAGAGTTTTTTTGAAAAATTTTGCCAGCACTTTTTTATTGAAAAACTTTAGTTTTTTCATTGTTCTCTAAGCTCGTTTATTACATGAAAGCCTACAAGATACAATTGTGAATAATTTATATCAGTTGTTATTGGCTATTATACAAAAAAATAAACGTTTATTTTCTGAGTATGTTTATGCTAGACTTATACATCAATGTATTGACTGTATCGTACGTAAGTCTAATTGTGAATTTATTTCCTTTTCTAAATGATAACATACTCGAATATCTTTTTTTGTACTCTGTTACATAGAATGACAATACAATTCATGAGTTATTTTTTACTTTAAAACTATTTAAATGAAGTGTACGTTGTAGAAAATTTTAGTACTATTATTATTTTGTACACAGCAGTGATGGCAATAGACCATTTTTTGCTCGGCAATTGTATATTTACCACACACAGGTCTAAAGTCAAATTTTTAAGAAAAAAGAATATAAACAACCATAACTATACTATGTAAATGAAGAAAAACAAATTATTAAAAATCGATTGTCACGTATGAACTTTTTTTCAACGCTTTTCACAGTTTATTGTAATATGTCACAAGAAAAATATTCATTAACAATTTTTACTCGATAAATCTCCTCATTTGACATCTTAACATTAAAACTAACACCTGACGATTAAACACGATAAACTGTAAGTAACAGTTTCTTCTCATACTGAAGATGACATTTTTATATGTATGAACTACTTAACTCATTATTTAAAATAGTGCTCATTTAAAACGATAAAACACACATTTTTTGCCATGACTATGCATCAATTACAAGGTACACCATTTATTATTCTAAATTGAATACACCACACAAATGCAACTTCATATGTTATTCATACATTTAAAGTATATTCCGTAATTTTTCCTATTATTATCAATGTCGATGTCCTTTAAATACTAACTGAAATGATATTTGTTTTGCTTACAACCAGAATAAAAAGAGATCAACAACGTCTTAGAACATCATCTCGTACATTTTATGAAAACTCATTCAATTTCATCTATTTCTCTTATTTCTAAAGAATTCAGTTCTATATTTGTATGAGTAAATTTGGATCATTCGTCATTCGAGGGAACAGTATTTTTAATAGGATTTCGAAGCACAGTGTACGCGTACACCCTGCTGAGCCAATAATTTTATTTTCAGAGTGTACTTCATGGGAAAACAAAGTGTATTCTCAAAAAAACAGAGTGTACGTACACTTTCTCTGCTAGAGTACACTAATCATTAAAACCACTGCGAGGGAAATGTTTTTCAAATGTAAAAACGTATTACTATTAGTGAAATAGTTGTATTATATGGAATTGATTTGCTTTTATTTAAAGAATAAAATGTTTGTTGATTAAAAATCGATTGTGTTCGAACACGTTTGACATCTAATTTATTTAAATATGTGAGGAAATAATCTGCGGCGCTAGTATACATGCTTCATATAGTTCTCCAATCAGACAAAATAAGAGTACAGACAGCTAAATGACTCATCCCAATAAAAAGAAATAAGTTGAACCGATGAAGAATTTCGAAGAATGAATGAATGAATATCAATAGGATAAAAAAAAAAGAAAAAATCATTTGAATTCTTTCAGATGACGATTTATCAAAATTAAATTCAATCAAACTATGGCATTGACCGATCTCGTACTTGACTGTAAGTGATGTCAAAAATAAAAACAAACAAATAAATATAGAACTTTGATTTTTGATGAAAATAATATTCTAGTTTACGAGATGACCAATGCAAGTCGAGTTGATATGAGTGATTTCGAATTACTTAAAGTACTTGGCACGGGAGGTAAAGCGATTGACTTTTTTTTAAGTAGAATGAAAAAAAAACGAAAATATTCATTTTAGCTTATGGCAAAGTTTTCCTCGTGCGTAAAATAACCGGTGCCGACACAGGACAATTATATGCAATGAAAGTTTTGAAAAAAGCAGCTATTTTACAAAAAGCTAAAACAGCTGAACATATTAAAACTGAACGGCAAGTGTTAGAAGCAATTCGTCAGATTCCTTTTTTAGTATCACTTCATTATGCTTTTCAAAGCGACGCCAAACTTCATCTTGTTATGGGTATATCGAGATTTTTTGTTTCAAGACAAACAAAGACTAAATACATGAATTTATTCATTTCTATTTAGATTATGTTAGCGGTGGAGAATTATTCACGCATCTAAATAAACGACAACGCTTTAGTGAACAAGATGCGAAAATATACATCGCTGAATTAACACTTGCTCTTGGTCAATTACATAAAGTAATATTGCAAGACGAATAAATATCAATAATAATTTTAATTTTTTTTCTAAAGCTCGGAATTATTTATCGAGATATTAAACTGGAGAATATACTACTTGATAATGAAGGTCATATTGTCCTCGCAGATTTTGGTTTAAGTAAAGAATTTCGACCAGATGATTCGGTAAGCTTTAATGTTTTCTTCAATTTTTCAAATTGTTGTTCAATTAATGAAGGATAAACGAACATACTCATTTTGTGGTACAATCGAATATATGGCACCAGAAGTTGTCAAAGGAGGAGATGCTGGACATGATTTTGTAAGCTTTAATTTAAAATAAGAATAAGATAAATGGTTGATCTTTTTTGTTTGATGAAAATAGACAGTTGATTGGTGGAGTCTTGGTGTTCTTACATTTGAACTTTTAACCGGTGCGTCTCCTTTTACTGTTGATGGGGATCGAAATACTCAACCAGATATATCAAAGTAACTTTTTATGATTACAGAAAAAATAAATTTCTTAAAATCTCACTTTTATTTTAGACGAATAGTAAAAAATCATCCATTAATACCAAATCATATATCAAAAATAGCAAAAGATTTCATTCTTAAGCTTTTAACAAAAAATCCCAAACGTCGTTTGGGTTCTAAAGGACTAGAAGATATTAAGCGTCATCCATTTTTCGGAACTGATATAGATTGGGATGCTATTTTACATAAACGTACTCAAGCACCAGTTAAACCAAAACTTAAAAATGAAATGGATACAAGTAATTTTGCAGAAGAATTCACTCGTTTACCAATAACAGATTCACCTGGTTTGGCACCACCAACCGAGAGTCTTTTTAGAGTTAGTTAATTTGTATAAAATTATTCACATCAAAATATATGAGTCATTTTTAGGGTTATTCATTTATTTCACCTACTGTTATTTTTGGCCCAGAGAATGCCGTAAACGAAGATATGTATAATCTTCTTCGCCTTACAAATTACCAACGACCTGATCCATCTCAACTGCATCGATTGATTAAAGTTTGTTTCTTATTAGTTGTTTTATGACAATTATAATTCCATGTTGTTGTTGTTTTTTTTCAATTTTAATAATCTAGACAAGTCCGTTTTTTCGAAATTATGAACTTATTGATCGGGAAGGTTTTCTTGGTGAAGGCAGTTTTTCAATCTGTCGGTTAGTTAAATCGATGTCGTGTTTTGATTCCTATCTTTTTTCTCTTCCGAAAATTTAGTCGTTGCCGAAATCGTCGAACACAAGAAGAGTTTGCTGTCAAAATCGTGTCACATAGGCAAAAAGTTGATGCACAAAATGAAATTGAACTTCTACATCTATGTCAAGGTCATGCTAATATTGTTAAATTGCATGAAGTTTATTCTGATGAGGTTAGTTCGATGAAACATACATCTTGTTTTATGTTTTCAAAAAATAACAGAAATTCAATGAAATAATTTTTTTTTGCCACAAAATCATGATCTGTTGAATAAAAAGATCACGTTGATAATTATCAACTGTTTCATAGTGAATACCTATCTACAGTTGGTAATAATTAGATGATGTAAAAGATATTACAATATAAATTAACGGATGTGTTGTAAGGAAATAGGTTCCAGTTTTTATGAATCAAAGATAGCTTAAACCTTTCAAATGGTTGATATTTATATGTTGATTTGTAAGAGAATGCACAAAAGAAAATATTGTAATCAACTATTTTGAAAGTTACTCGTATTGAAAAGTGTATCAATTTTATCCTTCGTTTTTTTTTTCGAAATTAAGCTTCATACATATATTATAATGGAGTTATTGACCGGTGGTGAACTTTTCTATCGAATACGAACGCAAACATCATTTTCTGAAAAAGAAGCAAGTCAATTAATGAAAAAACTTGTATCAGCTGTCAATTTTATGCATAGTCATGATCTATGTCATCGAGATTTGAAACCAGAAGTATGAAAGCTCAATTAAAAAATGTTCTTTTTTGTACGCATTTCGGCCTTTTATTTTAGAATTTACTTTTTGCATCACCGAATCCTGATGCTGAAATAAAAATAATTGATTTTGGTTTTGCCAAGAAACGTGTTAAACATCAACAGATGACAACACCGTGTGGTACACTCTTGTAAGATAATTTTCTTTTTACTTCTTATTTGAATAGTATTTGAAAACTTATTAATAAAGATATACAGCACCAGAAGTACTTCGTACTGCCACATCATTTAGCGAATCTCAATCATCTTGTCTTTCGACTTCATCAGCTTCATCTTCATTATCAACAAGTACGACTATTGCTTTTGTATCTTCGACAGCGAAAAATGCAAATGCATTCACATATGGTTATGATGAATCATGTGATTTATGGTCGCTAGGAGTTATTCTATATACAATGTTAAGCGGTGAAGTTCCATTTAATTCAATAACAGCTCATCGAACAGCTGAAGATATTGTTGAAGATATAACACGCTCTCAATTATCATATGATACACTGGCATGGAAAAATGTTTCACAAGCTGCTAAAGATCTTGTCAAAGGTTTGTTTTCTATCATTTTTATTCAATTAAAGATTAAATTATAATTGAAAATGTATATTTATGTCATTGTTTATTTGTGATTGATTAGGTTTATTAACAATTGATCCATCGAAACGTCTAACAATAAAAGATCTGTCGAGGAATGCTTGGATTCGTGGTTCCAGTATTCCAGCAGTACATGAAAATTTAATGACACCAAATATACTTTGCCAAGCATCTCGATCTCTCATTGTAAATAATTTGAGAAAAATAACCATTCGAAATCAATTATATTTTATTTTTGTTTTGTTTTATTTTTAATTAAGGTTCGTGCTGTTAATATTACAATGCGTGCATTTCAAAAAGCTGGTCAATTTCAATTATCTTCTGTCACTGATGGCCTTCTAGCACGACGTCGATATGCAAAGAAATCCACTGATTCATGTTCATCAACATCAAGTTCGACAACAGCCGTCGTACCTAGTTATAACATTTCTTCGTCTACATTACCACATACTCGTCGTTTGTGTGGTAATGGTGTTTGCCGTTGCCGTCATGCTCTATGCCCACCAACGAATAGTATATTGTCCTTGTCTTCATTTGACTTTAGTGAAGAAAGACTGTCCCAGTTAATTGATCAATATCCATTGACAACAACAACAATAACACCACCAAAAAGATATGGAATGACATTAAGACCACGAGCAACAGCTGCTGCTACTACAAATAGCATTCATCATGAATTCGCGTCGCCTGCTCCACCTCCACCATTATTTCTTGTTCCTTCTTTATCACTTTCGTGTTCATCTTCTTTATCATCTTCATCGTTGTCTTCCATCACTACAGATATCCTTCATCCGACTAATACTTACGGTGAGAAACGTCAATTAGCATCACCAGTTCATCATTCACTTGGATCAACCAGTAAGAAAGTCAAAAGATCGGGTACAATAACTATTAATGATTAGAGTCTCTCTTTTATTTTCGCTATAAATTATTCACTTTAGCATTTTCCTAGTTGTTTCTTTTTCTATGTATGATATTTTTGTTTTGAAAACAAACAGACATCTTTCTTCAATCACCACTATTATTATTATTATTATTATTATTATTATCATTATCAGTGCTCGGACTCATTTATCGTTATTGTTGTGATTTCGGTCAATGAACAAGGGTTGATTTCTGTACATGTGTGCGTCTTTCTCATCCATTTCTGTTTCTGTTTCTGTTTCTGCTATTTACCATTGTCATCAAGCTTTCCTTCTTTTCTCTGTCTTTATTCTTCTCTGCAATAATCACAACGGATGACATATATTGTGAACATAGATTGTTAATGCAGATTTGATGAATTCTCAAATGTATTTTAATGTTTTTCAGGCTTCGTAGCGAGCCATCCCACATATATAGGAATGTATATAGGATTTTGAAAGCAATATTCATATAAGATATATATATATATATATTAATATAGGGCAATTTTTTATAATGAAAAACTCATTCAAGTGGCTTGCCAAACATGAAAGAGCTTCAAGGTCAAGAACAAGTCACATTCGAAGTTACCAAATAACTTAGTGCGAATACATATATATATATATATATATTTCAATTATTGAGAAAAGAGATTTAACAAACTTCAAGTCGAAAAAATTAGTTCAAATGAAATACTATACATGAAAAACGGCTAACGGTCAACCAGCATCATTGAAGTTGAGCACTGAAATTCTCGGATACAAAACGACCGACTTATTTGTTTAAAGTTTTTATGTAGGTTTTCGTATATTCTGCGTCGATGTATGCAATTTCTTTTTAATAATTAGAAGAAGAAATAGTAGTTACCGGTCAATATTCAGCATTTTTGTGACAAAAGCCTTGGAAATACTTTTGTTTCTAATCATATTTCCAAAATGGACACATTATTAGACATAAAAATAGTAGTGGCCGCTTGAACAACAAATGAACATCATTACTTTGATTTGATGTTCTAGACCAATATTTTCAAATGCGAAATAAAATTTTATATATAGGATTTTGTTTAAAAGATTCATGTCTGTGTCTGTGCGCTACCAAATGTTTTGTTAATAGCTCACTGATTTTTCTAGGTATCAGTATTTTCTCTTTACCAAAAGGTAGTCCTGACTTTTAGCTACAAAGTCCTCTCTCGCGCAATTCATTAACATGGAGTAGTTTGCAGGGTTTACACTTGTTTCGTACCTGCCAAGAACCTTTTCTGTCTGTGCGTTATCGACCTGTATTTTACTGATAATTAAAATCCAAACAGCTAGAGGTTGAGGCTCAAACTTTCAACTATTATAGAATTTGTCTACTTATATATCTATTAAAAATTACAAGTCTCTCCCTCTTATCATTCTCTAGACACATTCGTTGCAAGTTGTCAAAATGCCTGTACGTAACCTGTGTTTTTCACGTATATTTTATTTATTATTTAACATTGAAGAAAAAATTTACAAGAACAAAAAAAAAACTAGTTAATGAGTAGCACGCCGAGTGGATATTTTTTTACCACCACCAATCTCACCAGAACCACCACGAACACGATCACCAACTCGAGTAAGACCATTGTGACGAAGAACACCACCAGCTCGAGTACGGTCACAACCACGACAAATACCACCAAGGCCAAGATGACGCGTGCGACCACGGTTAACACTGCCTAAAAAGGTAAAAATATAACATTAAATCCGATATTACAATGAACTGTAGAGCTTACTTTGTTGTTGCAGCTCCCAGGACAACCATTCAGGCCGCCGGAGCGGTCTTCTTAACAGGCCTGAAACGGCTATAAAATGATATAATGAGGCGTTAATTTTCACCTTATTTCGCCGTAATCCGTCAGCTCGTTTTACGGACCGTTTTTTCGGCGAGAAAACGGCCATCGTTTTTAACAGTATATTCGTCGTTTTCCTAGCTGACGGAACACGGCGCCGTTTTTCAACGTTTTATACCGTTTCTACGGTCATTTACGCGCCGTTTTCTTGGACCAGGACTGTTGTTGTTGCTGCAAGAAAACAACAAAACCTTGAAATGGTGGAGCTGGCGGAATGTTGTTGTTGTTTTGAACAGCCATATTCTAAACAAAAACAAGAGATAAAGACAAATTTAATATAGTAAAAACAGTATGTTAGTATGTTCATGCAGAGAAAACATGCAATATAGAATTGCACCAACTTGCTGATTAGCGAAGTTCATGGCTTGGAGTGGAAGACGAGACATCTGAAAGGGTTCAAAATATGTTAAGGGAAAGGGCGTTACATCCCTAGAAGCTATAATAAAGACAAATCGAGGCGAGGAATACATTACTATGAGATAAGGCTGATATACTCTTATAATTCGAGCTTTGAACAAATGGTGAACACAAAAAATCGAATAAAAAACGGTCTACTTTGATCATTATTATTTTGAGCACTTCCTGCTGACTGTTTTTTTACACATCAGTTCAGATACTATGTTAACAGCGTATAGGTCGTACAACTATGTCGTCAGATTTTTGTAAATCGAAATTTTCATCAAGAAGATGAACAAAGAAATGATCACTGTACCAATTACTTGATAAACATTGTTTCTATATCAAACTATGTCGCTAGATGACGCCATATACTAGGACTATAACCATCGGCGGGTCATAGCGTCTCATATGGAGGGGTGGCAATAAATAATAATACCAATTTTTTTAAAACACAGCCATGTTTTGGGTACGGCATATGTATACAAAATGATAGACATATCCAGGGGTGTCACGAGCAACGAAAATTGGCGGGTGGGTAACTTATGAAATTCTACTTTTCAAAAATCTTGACGAGGAATAACCAGTGTTGCCAGATCTTCCTAATTGTGGAATTCTTTTGGCATTTTGTCTACGCTTTTTTCTTCATTTTTTCGAGATTTTTTAGGGATTTTCAGATTTTTCTGCTTGTTTTCGAATTTTTCGGAATTTATCCTGATTTTTTCAGAGCTTTTCAGCATTTTTGCAGGGTTTTTCTGGAATATATCTGATGCTTTCGAGGCTTTTTGGCGAAATTTTGACTATTTCTGGAATTTTTTCCGGATTTTTGAGTTTGACTTTTCGCAATACTAAGGCTAATTTGTAAAATTGTGCTTAAGGTACTATGCATTTCATTTTGTGAAATATAATGCAAGACAATTTTTGAATATTTGGATCGGGTCACCCCCGTCTCATCCCCTGCTGTCGCGACACCCTTGGATGTATCCACTAATAATTTTTCAAGTGCAACAATAATTTTTTCAGGTGTGGCAATTGCCACCAACTGCCCTCTGATGGCCCGCCGATGACTGTAACAGTTCGGAAACAGTTCCGAACTGATGAACTGTTCAAAACAGTTTATCGGTTCGTTTGAACCCGGTTCGTGAGCTGGAGCTGTCGCGGTCCTACTATATACAGGAGATGGTGTTATTATTACACTGATATTTCTTTAAAAATGAAATCAATCATATTTCACTGTTCTCTTTTCTAAGTCTAGTCCGTTGTGCAAGGCTACCTCACAGAAAAATATGAAAGCCATTTCAGAGATGCACGAGATTTTTTATTCACGTTGAATCATAACAAGGTCGGCGTGACCGATTAGACAGAAAGTAGCAATGCGATTTCACGTAAATATAGAAAGATTCGTAGTTCAGACAAGTAGTGCCATTGACATATTTACTCATCAATTTGATTTAGATATCAGACTTGATCGACACTCAACCATTACGTCATTATCTCCAGAAATCTGTTTCATTCGAGTTTTTCTCGGCTATATATTTTCTGTTGATGCGGTCTTCTCGGTAATTTCTACACTTGATCTTACCATGTGTGACATGGTCTTTCAATTGAGTTTTATTGTAGAAAGCTTAATTATCGTTAAGCAACCATTGCATGAGGCTGTTGGTCCTATTTGTTTTATTTCTCTCATTCATACTTCATCATAATTAATTTTTAGAAGTGATATTTGTTTTTCACTAGACATTTCACCAGTTTGCATCACCCGATCGAATCACAATCGTCTCAAGCAAATTTTGATAAGAATTTGGAAATGTTTCTTTGTTTGACCTATTAGAAAATGTTACTGGAAAGTTTCGTAGTGCTTGTATCAATGTTATGAAGAATTGGGTTAAAAAAGATTCTAATTTAACGAAAATATTTGATCCGATCTTATTATTTAATATTTTTATGAGTAAGTAATTTAATAACAAAGATTTCGGTAAGACTATTTGCTTGCTCCTGTGTGAACAAAGTTAAGCAGAGCAGCATATAGCTACCGAAATAAAGAATATTCACGATTGAAATTGGCGAAAAACATTTTCATATCTTTAGATAATATATGGTTATCATATTTACTGACAAATATATTATATTTGGTGACTGGTAAAAATCTGTTCTTTTATTTATTTTCGTAAATTTATTAAAAATCGGCTTCAATTAGTTCATACTGTTGATTTGATATTTAGAAAACTGTTTGATTAATTACAACACATATTATTGACAGTAAACGGATGAATGATTCTTACTACGAACATCGCTATAGCAAGATAAGCAAAGAGTCGTGTTACAAGAAACTAGTGATTTTGTAAAGTTGATCATCAATACAATGCATCATGAGTCACATGTTGGAGCTTTACAATTATACTATTGGACTCTTGCCTATCTTAATTATCAAATCAATGTAATAAAGCAACCAATCGTTTACTTAATCGCATGCATGATATGATATATTAAGAATCTTAGTGATTTTATTATCTCATGCATAAAATAAAGGTTCAAAATATTCATATGATTCGATTACTCAGGCATTGTAGAAAACTATATATTTTAAAGAATCAAATACATCAGTACTGTTGAATAACATTTTATACGAATAATTATAACATTTGTTATAGATAAGACAATACAAGTAGCAAATGATTCTTTTTTGTTTCTTAATGGAAATGAAACTTTACATTAGATACTTAATTAAGTATGCAATATTGAGCTATCCTGTGGATCGTCATAAAATATCTCACATAGAGCGTTGACAGTTAATTAGACTTTCTGAAATATGAAGATCTTACAGTTGTAGATGCATACATTCAAACAGATAGCTTCGAATACAAAGTGTAAAACTTTTTAGAAGTGACTGACGCATCAAATTAACCAAGATATTTCAGAATAAACAAATAACAATCAATCATATCAATTATTATTACGTGATAAATTTGGTGAATTCGATCTTGTCAAAGATAAAGATAAAGAATAAGACTATGCTGTAGTGATGAAACTACTATTGGTAGCTACTTGCACAATCAGTGTTTATCAAGTTGATTCAGATTTCTTGGCAAATTAAACTTGTTTTCATCTTAATTGAAATGTTTTTTTTTATTTATTTTTCTCAAATCTTATTATGTGGACTTTAATGGTTGATTAACTCAGTCTCGTGGTCCAACATTAATAAATAATCAGTTGAAATGCCCTTGTCAGAATATTTAATTTGCTTTGTATAATTGATCTGTCCTCTGTTTGAGGTTAAAGTTTCACCTTTTCGTCCGGGCATTGTCATATGGTAACATTAAGCCAATATTTGCCGAATATCAGTGCTACAAGCACTGATATATAGTATTTTGACAATTCAATAATTACTATACAACATGTCAATACAATAGTTATGGTTCGCAAGACAAACAATTCTTGTTGCTGAAAAGATCTCTGCATCTACTTGAAAAGTTTCAAAAGAACATCTAAATCGTAAAACCTATTTGTATTGTACACATGAGTAACTGATTTTAGAGGACTATTATTAATTAATTGTCCTTCTTAGATCTGTTGGTCTATTGCATCGCCAAAATAAATCAGTTAGTGTATCAGGACAATCAACTATAGAAATATTGTCATTTGGCAGCAGTCGAGCGGAAAGGGTTAAATGATCAAAGTCATAATCAAAACAAACATGAAGAAAAAATCCTATCAGATTTTAATTCAATTGTGACCTATCGTTTACTGATGCCAATCAAATTCTTAAAGTAAAAACAAAAACAAATTCAATCTTTAATTCGATTTTCTTCGCATATTTTCATTGTCTATTCCACGCATAGAGCAGAATATGGATATTTTTTTTTCTTTCTTTAATCTCATTAAAGAGCAGAATAGCCTATTTCTGACTAAATATACCTGCAGTATTGTGAGTTTTTATTCCATTTTCTTTATTCTCATGCACAGATTGTTTTTATTTCACAAGAGAGTGAACGAAGAACAGGCCGTCATTTACTGTTGGTTTACTAGTATAAGTAGAGAAACAAAGATTATAATTTACAGAGAGTTATTTGGGACAAAAAAGTTGCGAAGAAGTTGTAGCTGTTGTACGTTTTGGATTAGATTTCAAATATTCATCTTCACTCAATTGTAAAACATCGGGACGATCACGGACTTGATAAGTTAAACATCGACGAATGAAAGATTTCGCTTCGTTGGATACTTGCGGTCGATTAGGAAATTGAATTTCTTTGGCATTTAAAATTGTTTGATTTTCTAATATAGCTGCTTGAGATAAATTATGACCGTATGGCTTTCGACCATATAGACATTGATAGAAAATACCTAAAATAGAAATGAATGAAATAAATCAAAAGCGAAACCAAGATGTTTAACTTACAGCCAATACTCCAAACATCAACCTTAGATGAAATCTTAGGAGGATTAGGACCTTGAACAAATACTTCCGGTGGTAGATACCAATAAGTACCAGCACCTAGAACAAAAAAAAATAAAAATCGTTAATCAATAAACTTTTAATCGATTTAATTTTTATGTACCTTGAGATGTAAGATCCATTCCATCATCAGCATCAAATGCATCCTCATGCATTTGTTTCGATAAACCGAAATCAGTTATTTTGATTTCACCACTATTATTTCCTCTTCCCAAGAGAACATTACCTGGTTTTAAATCATAATGAATCTAAAAATAAAATAAAATAAGAGATCATTCGTTTTTTTTTCTATTTAATAATTAAATAGAACAGACCACAGGCGGTTTTATTTCTGAATTGAGATATTTCAATGCATTTATTGTTTGCATTATGATTGAACGTGCTTCTTTTTCTGGAATCGTTTTGTTTTGTTTAAGAAAAAAATCTAAATCATTTCCATCACAGTATTCCAAGACTGTACAAAATGAATTTGTATCGATTTCAAATACATCAAATAATTTAACAATACCTAAAGAAAGATTTCTTCTTATTAATATATTAACATATATTTGAATAGTGAAAACACTTACGTTTATGTTCTAAATGTTTATGTATATTATATTCTCTAACAGCATGTTTAATATAATTCACTTTTTTTTCATCTTTCCATTCTTTATTTAACTGATGAATTTTACATGCAACATAACGTTGTTCACGTAAGTCAAAAGCACGATGTACTTCACTGAAACCACCTTTACCAATCAATGTTAATAATAAGTATCGTTCATGAAGTATATTATTTTTATTGAATCTTGAATGATCTTCATTATATAAACGTTTTAATTCTCTTATATGAACGTTTCTTTCGCGATCAAGTTTTTCTAAATCTTGTGCTAAGTCGCATTCTTCACGTTTGAGTGTTAATTGTCGAAGACGAAGTACTTCATCATATTCATACCAATCTTGTAATGTCATTATAGGCGATGATGAATTTGAAATGAGAGACGATGATGATGATGATGAATTTCCACTATCAATAGGTGGATTATTATCACCAGAATATAGATAATGACCATCGTTTGAATTATCAGAAAATGTTTGAATTTGTTGATGTCCTATGAATGATGGCGAGGCCATCAAAGGATTATTATTAAATGTTACAGCAAGTGATGAGGACGAAATTGGTTGAGATTTTTGTTGACTAAAATATACCAAAAAAATCAATAATTCCTTTCGTATGAAACTATGAAATTTTATCAACATTTGTAATCCTTTTCAAATAAGTAAACTATCAATCCATAGAAAACTATTATTAAGTTTAAGTAATTTTTATTTCTAATAATATTTCAAACTTAAAAGATAATTAGTTTTATTAAACAAAAATTCTCAATTATTTTCTCTATTAGTAAAAATAAAGACTAAAATAAAAAGTCAAAAATAAAACTTACCTAGTGAGTGTTTTAATAGCTGATGCTTTATTTGTTCGTTTAGATTTCGTTGGTGGGACAAACACTGGATTGTTAAAATCTATAGAATTAGAATAGCTATGCAGTGTAGTTGTCTCATCAACTGTGGTTGCTATCATTATTTGTTGTTGTAAAAATGTTTTTTTCTTTGTTAAATTTTTTCGTTCGCGATCAAGATTTTCTTTTGCTCGAGCTAATTGTTCTTGTGCGCGTTGTTTATCCAAAAAATCAAAACCATCAACCCATTGTTCAACAAATGAAGTACCTTGTCGTTGTGTAACAAATTGACCAAGACGTAAACGATTTTCCATGGATTTTTCACGTGCTTCTTTTTTTTCTAATTGAGATTTTTCAATAAGTAATGCACGTGTCATAACAAGACAACGTTTTATTGTTTCAACTGTTGATTCATATTGACGTTGCGTATCTAATTTTGTTCGACGTAATTCATCAATTTCAGCTGTTATTTTTTGTTGTTCAATATCAAGATGCTGACTAGATGTATAAATTGAGAATGAAGGATCAGTTTGAGTCATTTTACTATTGTTAAGAAACATCACAACTGAACCGTCGAACGGTGTCACTTTTGGAAAGAACATAGTTAGAGGATTTGATCGTTTCGTTGGTATTGAAGGTGTTAAAAATGATGATGAATCATTCATTGGTTGTTTACGTTTACGAGGTGTGGATATTTGAGTTAGATTTGTTGAATTCGACATTGATGATGAATAAGGTGGAGTATTTTGTGTATGATATGGAGTTATAAGATATGGTTGAAATGGAATCGGAGATGATGATGATACCTGTTTCGGATATGATGAACACGATGATGATGATGATATTCCAGCTACAGCAACATTTGATAATTTCAAATGATTATCTCTTGAAGAAAGAAGAAAACAAAATTGGGATGGAGTTATAGAAAAAAATTCTTCTGTGTTCTTTTGATAAATTATCAACATTTACGAATAAATTAGCCTTGATTTTATTGTCTATTCGAAAGAAGAACGTATTTGTTAAAATTTCAAAAAAGTCACTTTGTTGATTTATTTTACGGCTCTTTTTCTTTAAATTTTAGAGAAATAACAGAACTCTACGTAAATAATATGGTTAAAGATGGCTAAAAAAATTGAATTTTAAACTAGTGAATACAAAAAAGCATATATTATGCTTTTATCGTTTATTTATATTTTATTTTCCAATAGGCCAATAAAAATGACTTAAGATAGACATATATAAATGCACTTACAGTACATATTTACTTCATCATATTATATATTCGCCATAAGGCCCAAAAAATAGGTTCTAGATAAATATTACGTACGTTGAATAAGGAGTGAATGCTTGATTTTTTTGTTGAAAATATGTCAGAAGGTTTGTTGCTGCCGGTGGATGAAATATCTGACAATCGTCTTGATTTTTATTATAGATGCCAGTCAAATTAGAAGCCGAGTTTACTGGCCAACGAACGAATGGATAATGAGACTCGGGATTAGTCATACCAATAACGACAAACTAAAATATACAAATGTGAAAAATAATATATAAATGCACACAAGGCTATCATCATCATCAACAACATCATTATTACTGCCGATAAAAAAAAATGGGAATGGTGCACTAGTAGGAGAAGATCATATGGAAGAGAGAGGGGAGAAGGAAAGAAAAAAAATGCAGGATCATATGATGTATGTATGTGTGTCGGTCGTGACAAGGCAGAACAAAACGCAAAATGAGAGAGAACGTGAGGAAGGGAAACAATCATCACGTCAACATCAGAGCAGCAGCATGCAACACTAGTCTAAAAACACATACACGGAGAGAGAGAGAGAGAGAAAAGCAACGATGCCGATAAGCACAACTGCTATTGTACTGGTGTCAAAGTGAATGAATGGTGAATAAAAACAATAGAATGATGGACTCATCAAACGGCGGTGGCGAGAAAAAACCCTGTAAATAGAATATCTACCTTTGATGGTTGCCATCGTCATAGCCGTGTCTTCCTTCCAATATACTAAGAGATTTGAAGTAACACGGATACTGAAATGCAAATGGAATTTATATTTAATCGTCGCATCACCAAACAAATGAAATGCCAGACACACGACAACACGTACGTATCGATTTATACAATCTAAAAAATGATCATAACAATCGTCAGGTATTAATACGACAATTTATCAAACATTCATATTGAAAAAAAGCGGAAAAGATAACACACAAAAAAAACAGAGAAATCAAACTCTTGTTTTTTCATCTATATATATATATACATATATATGTATTGGAAAGGACGTTTGTTTCTCTTTATACACATCTGTTCAGTTATGAATAAAAAGTAAAAAATAAATATCACAAAAAAAGTAATCAATCAATAAATTAATCACCGAACAAGAAAAAAACTTTGTGGTAAGTGCATTGCATAAACAATATCCGAATTCTGTAATATTAATGTTTCTGCTTGTGACGAATAGATAATTTTGTCAATATTCATTTCATTTTCATCTCGATTAATATCATTAAGAAATGGAATTAAAAATTGTCTTGTTGAAATTTTTGTTTGATTAAATGTGTCATAGACAAAAAGAGAATTCAATTTTGTATAGAATAAATAATTTGTACGATGTATTGTAAAACAATTGGATGTTATATCATTTAATTCATAAATAAGTTGTAAGTTTGACTGTGTCCATATGCATAATCGTTTATCGGTTCCAAGACTTATGATATTCGATGAATGACCACAGAAATTTAAATCAGTTATTATTGATGACGGATGTGCATTTAGATTTGTTTGAATAAGATCATCTCCTTTCCAAACACATAATACTCCATTAAAACAACCGCTTACCAATATTGGTGGATGATACTAAATTATTTTTAAAAGAAAATAATAAATAGTTATTTAATAGAAAATAGAACTAGAATCAATAGACAGAACAAGAATTATTCAAACTAAAGTTCCAAAAGAAAATGAGAACATAAATATTTGAAAAGAGATTTGTAAACTTAGTTTGAGCTTCTGTATGTGATAAAGACAATCGAATTATAACAAAAGGATACTAATAGATTAATTTTTTAGTTTTCGTCAAAATTGAGCTTCTAAAACTTCAAAATTCACGGTATTGAGATCATTTAATATGATATATACCGTATTAGAATAGTCTATTACGAACAAACATAAGATAGGATCGAAAAGAAACTTGTGTAAGATAAAATTAATTCAATTGAATTAATAAATAGAATGTAACGGATTTCAGATACACAACGAAAGAGTATCATGAAATTTGAAATAAATCCATATTGTCTCAATCATCAATAACAACATAATTTTTTGTTTCTGTAGAATGAAAATGAACTTATCAAATAGGAAATACGCATAAATTCAGTGCAACTCATTTGAACTCGATTTAAAGAACAGAAACTACATAATAAAGAACCGACAAGTATGTATTTCCAGAGTAATAGTTGAAAAGATTAACAGAATCTTAGTAGCTATCAACAAGTTATTCGATATATCATATGGAAAAGGTAGATAATATTTTGTTTTATTATTGTCAAATAACATCTAATGAAAATCTGAAATTATCATTTCATTTTGTTTTTGACTGTATTATCTAAACAGTTTTAACTTACTGGGTCAAGAGCAAGACAATTGATAGGTGATTGATGTTTTTGTAAAGTATGTAAACATGAGCCATTGGAAACATTCGTGACTTTAATTGAATGATCATCACTACCAGTAAATATAATGGGAGAATTGAAATCCATTTGACAAACACGTATCGGCCATTGATGTATTCTTTTAATATAAATTTGTTTGATTAAACCATTTAAATATTCAAAAAGAATTACGTAACCACGACGTGTAATACTGATGATCAATGTTGATGATGCTCGTATAAGATGTGTTATACCACCAAGATCATCACACCCAGATAATATTAGATTTTTTGCTGTCGAGTTATTAGGATAAATTTCTATTTGACCATTTGAACATCCAAATAGACACCGATGTTCATCAATCATTAACGAACACCAAACATGACTTATGATTTTCTCACTGGATGCTATTGAATATCTTTGTTGTGTTAGAATAATACCACCTGTTTGAGGACTCCACATACAAATCGAACCATTGGAATATGCTACACTAACAACTGTACCACTTTCATGTACGTACATCGATTCAATTAATAATGTCGATGATGGAGGTATTAATATTGTTGGAACAATTGAATAGTCACTTTTTATATAAGACAATGATCGATTATGACTTGAATTTAGTGTAAATGATGACGAAAAAAAACAGAAATAAACAATACTAAATAATGTTAAACCAAATAAAACAATGAAAAGAAGTTCCCAAAGAGCCGTTGAAAATCGACGATCAATCAATGAACTACTTGTACTTGTTATTGTAGCATCAATTAAAGGTCGATGTTGTGCCTAAATATATATATATATATTTCATAAATGATATTTCACTGATTTATTAATAAAATTATATTTCTTCTATTTCACAGAGCAACAAGATAATTGCTTAAGTTCAGAATTCTATAGATATGTATTCGTTATTTTGTTTGCCTTGTAGATAGCTATTCATACTTGTTTTTCTTTTATTATTTTCTATCATGTTTTCATACATATTTCATTTTTGTCTTAATCTCTAATATAAAAATATCTTCTATGTTTTTATATGATAGCTGTTTGTTTCAATGTCATAATCAGCTTCTTACACACAACCATTGAAGACAAATATTGGAATACTTTTTTTAAGCCACTCACAATAATTTAATAATATAGAGACTCAGTACATAGTAGATCTAATGAACATGAATCTTCTATAGTAAAGCTATTTTTGAATTAGTCTCTATGCTAACTTTTGAATATCTCCATGTATTCATATTTAGCACGTACTTCTATTTTATGAAAACTAAATTCTATCAAATATATATATATAAATTCTTCTATTCATGTATATAAATAATTTTTTATATATTTTCTATAAATCTGTTAAACTTTATAAAAAAATCAAATAATTATTGAGGTTTTTTTCAATAAGATTTAAAAATAATTTCTAATATTTCTTACAACTAAACATGAGATACTACATACGTTATAATCAGGAGCCTTTGTTTTCACATTAAATGGTTGATCTTCAGAAGAAACCACTGGTAAATAAATTGATGGCATTATACTTAAATAACGATTATCATATGAAATATTATAAAAAGAAAATAAGGTTGACCAATGATCATAGGATAGAAGTGTTTGCCATTCATAGTTGGGTAAAGATACATTATTCATCATTTGATCTTCTACATGAATATTCGAATCATATTGATTCGAAATCGACGAACCATAATGTTCATTGAGCATTTTTTCAGGAACAAAATCTTTGATTTGTTCTCGATTTATTTGTACTTAAGTAAAAAATAATAAAATAGAAAAAAACTGATTCATTTAAACAATGATTTTTCTTACCATTTTTATGCAATAAATCAACAATTAAACATGACTTATAAAAAATCAGAATGACCCAAACAAGAACAAGAAACATACTTCCTCTTTGTAAAACTCTATATCGAGCCCATTGAGATTGTTGTTGTTGTTGTTGTCGCCTGTTTGTTAAATATGGCATTCTCATAGGTAGTGATACTTTAATTTCTTTCTTTTCTTGTTCTAAATTTCTGTTTTTCTTTTTTCCAACACCAACTGTAAATCTTCGAATATCGATACTTAAAACCGCTAACCAAAAATTAATTTGCATAAAAAAATCAATTAATATTCCAATTAATGCCAATTGACAAAACTCTCTCACTGTTGGAACATATGTTATAAAACCAATCATAACAATGACTAATTCATAAACTAAATGTTTTGATATTGTCCAAGATTCAGCACGAAGTGCATGTGCCACACGTTCACGTATATCATCATATTGTTTTTGTGCTTGTGATGATGTTACTGCACGTGTTAATACAACTAAATTTTCTAAACCAATAAATATAACTAAATATGGAAATACTTCACCACCATCAAGACGTGGTGTCATATGAAATAATGATGATAGCGCTAATGATATTAGCAAAGACACAACTATTTGTACTGTTGCTGCTAATGCAAGACCCCATTTAGATTTTACACATTCGAATTGACCTTAAATTAAAAAGAATATAATTCTAATGCAATTGTCGTATATTTGAAATATCACGGGCTATTATTTCGACTTCAGTTTGTTTTCTTCTTTTAACAATAAATCGACTGAAAACATATGGTTCAATTTTATTTTGGAATGAACAATATCTGCAATATTCATCAGAGAGAAATAAGAGAAAACAAAACAGAAATTTCCTCTTGAGGAAATCTTTGTCAAAAATTTAGATTTATTTCTTCATGAAAAGTTTCATTAATTAATGCAGCTATCCAGTTATGCTGAAAAGTTTTCTTTCTCTTTTAATCGAGCTACGCCATGGAATAGAACATAACAGTAAGTAAACAGAAACGTCCATGAAAATTAAAGGCGAAGGTCGAAACATTATAGAAATCTCATATCTATTTTTCGATTAATGATCACTTGATCAATACTGAGAATTTCATGAATATAGAGAAAAGTTTAAAGAAGATTTTTGTATTTCACTTCTTTTTTCTTAAATTCAATATTCATCTTCATTTTCCTATATTTAATCAAGAGGAATAGAAAATGCAAAAGAGAATTTCTGATTAAAATATGTCCATGGACTAGTATTTAACTGCTTTTTTGAGCTAACTCTTCATACATTCAATATCTATATTTAAATTACAAAGAAAATTTCAATATTTTACTTACTAACGGAGTAATAAATATAAAGAAATACAACAACATAAATGAGTACTAATGGTAGATAATAAAGAAGAGATTTTCTTGAAAAATAAATATGTATTATATCATCTTTTTGTTGTTCATCTAAAGCAAACAGTCGCTTTTTTAAATCTTGTCGATATTCATTTGATGCATTATTTAATAGAAGTGTGATTGCATATGTTAAAGGTTTATGTGATGAAAAATATTCTTGTGGAATACCAAATATAATATCTGCGTAACGTTTTGATAATGTTGGAATTGATTCGAGAATTTCGCGCTCATTACTTATTATATTTGATAAATCATTTGACCAAAGGTTTAATGGCGAAAGAAAAAGACAACCGAATGAAGGTAAATATGATGCCATTTGTTGAGTATTTATTGGTTCACCAACTCGTAAACAATTTGCATCAAATTGTGGATCAGAAAAAAGACGATCACGAATATCACGTGCACGTAAAAGACAAGACGAACGTGATGTTAATGTTGAACATCGTATAACAATATGTTGAACATAAGCAAGCGGATAACCAGAATACTAAATATATTTTCAAAACAACAAAGTTAACAAATATATTTATATAGAGTAAAAAGAGAATTTTCGTTTTCTATATTCAATTCTACAGTTGTATCAATGATTTTAAATTAACTTTATAGAATTTTATAATTAAATTTACCCATAATGGTTTATCTGGTTGCTTGTCATGTAATTGATCGCTCGTATTCAATTCTAAACGAGCACGTACTGGTCGAAATGATTTTGATGATTCAGCAAAAATTTCCAAGGTACTTCCGGGTGGTGGAACATTTGTCGTTATTTGAAATCTAAAATAGATTACTTATATACATGAAAACAGAAACGAATAGTTTCTTTCATACAAACTCAGTAGAAATACACCAAAACAAATGAGAATTACATAAAGTGAATGATCAGCAACAAAGAATCCATAAGCATACGACAAATCAAGTACTCTATTCTAATAATAATAATAATAAAATGTACAAAAGTATGATAGAAAATAAATAATAATTGAAGAATAGTTTACTTTAAGATGAATATGAAGTTTTAACAATGCACGATACATTTATATCTAACATAATCAATAGAAAAAAAAATGCAATTCCTGTTGTACTATATCACACCACACCGTCACACTTAATTAATGTATTTAAGTTGCATCAAACTGTATTCAAGGTAGTAACAAAAATTGAACTTCAATTGGAATTGTAACAAGCGAAACACTGTTTTATGGATACATAAAAAATAAATGAAGCCTGTAATTTAGTACCAAAAACAAAAACAACAAAAAAGAGAACAATGAATTAAGTTTGATTGACAAATCTTTCTATTGGTTAAAAATTCTTACCAATGTCAGAATATTTTATCGAACCCTCAAAACAAAACAAGAAAAAACAAAACAAAGTTTTCTTTTTTTATTCTATACGTGGCAAAAGCAAATATGTATCAGCCACTATTAGTTATCTTCAATGTCTCTACTAGTAGATTTACTACTAACCAAAAGTAAAATATAAGAAATATTTTGCTGAAATAAATATTGATATTTATACTATATCAAAATTTACTGGAATAGAATATAACTTTTTGTTTCCAATATGTTTAATAAATTTTTATGTTGACAATTATAGTATGTATTTTATTCGGCTTTTTTTTTGAAAATTTGACTTCGTTCTTTTATTCTCGAACTTTAATTCAGTTATATGAGAAGGAAAAAGTTTAAAAAAAGATGTGTTCCGTTTATCATTCTTCATATTATCAATAGGTGTTATTTGCCCAATGAAAAGCTACGATTTTGTAGTCCTGTATTATTTTTACACAATGCATTATTTACAAAAACTTCATTATATCATTTTTTTTTATACAGTTTCAATATAACCAAAGAAACTGCGCATATGTTCTGTACTAATATGAACAGGATTTATCGAAAATACTTTTTTTTTCTTGATGTTTATAAGTGACATTGATGAATTAATTTCCACTAAATATTATTTTTACTTTCGTTTGAGATTCTATATTTTCTTTATTGAATTTAAAATGGCAAGTGGTGGTGCAACTTCAGCTCCAACAGTTTTTGGTGGAAAAAGTAAAATAATGGCTGTTATTGGAGATGAAGTTAGTTTACTCTTCTTTTCTTTATCAATTCTGTAGTTTTTTTCTTTTTCAAAAGGATACAGTAACTGGTTTTCTACTTGGTGGCATTGGTGAATTACACGCTAAAACACGTAAACCAAATTTCTTAATTGTCGATAAAAGTTTGTTTAAAAAAACATAGCAATTCTATTTATTTTCATGTTAAACTATTCAATAGATACGAAAGCATCGGATATTGATGACACGTTTAAAAGTTTTCTTAATCGTGATGATATTGGCATTATTCTTATTAGTCAATATGTAAACGAAATTATTTATATTTTATTTAATTATTCAATTAATTTTTTCTCTTTTGAAAGATTGCTGAAATGATTCGTGGAACTGTTGAGGGTCATGATAAAAATGTACCAGCAGTATTAGAGATTCCAAGTAAAGAACATCCATATGATCCTAGTAAAGATTCAATTTTGAGACGTGCACGTGTAAGTTTTGCGAAGACATTATATATTCCAGTCTATTTTATGAACTATTTTTCTTTTTAGGGTATGTTCAGCATTGAAGATTTTAAATAAAAGATAATAACAATATTATACAATTCGTTTGCATTTATGTTGTCGCCTATTCCATTTTATTTATTGTGTTTTTATTTATTTCGATAGATGAACAATATATATATATATAGATGTCGATTAATATCAGAAGATTCACATATTTATAATTTTTCATATTTAATTGATGAGGATATACATCAATTTTTCTATGTTGCTGATAAAAATTAAAATCAGAAGAGAAAAATACATTTTTTAATTTAATGATTCTATGGAAGATTCTTGTTTTAAAAGAAATATATTTCAGTCGATCTAAGGAAAATAGCAAAAGAAGGCACTCAGAAAACAAAAATATGAAACTACTATTGATTGATTGATTGTGTTTTTTTTATAGATTTTTATATTAAAAATGTCGTTAGATACATTATTAATACCAGCAGTCAATTGGTCTTTATTTCTATTAACTAGCTTAGTAATATGTCTTCGTACATATGCACCACTGATATGTATATGGATTCTAAATCAATTTTATTCTCCATCCATGACAATCGATGCGCTTACAAATGAATTAAAAAATGTAACATGTGAATTAAAAACAATTTCCCCGCAAGATGAATTTGCTGCATATTCGCGCAAAGAACGACAACGTAATTCACTTGTTGAACGTCTTAAAACTGAACGAAACAATATTGAAACGAAACAAAAAACGTTATTAACTTATATTCGAACGATTCTCAACATTGGAACTGTTTTCATTATGATCTTTCTGACAATACAAACTCGACGAACTGATAGAACATTTTTATTTTATTTTCCATTTTTTCGCTTCCCATTAGTTATTTGGATTATGGCATTAAATACATTTGTTAATACAGTTACTAAGATTTATCTTAGATATCTAACAAATAAAAAAAGTACGGAGAAATAAATAGAAGGATAAATGCATATGCTAATTGAACATTTCTTAATAAAGTACAGTAGAATAAACGCAAGAGCAAAGTACACAAACGAATAAGATTGGTATAGATGAAAATATTCTTTTATTTGAAAAATAAACCTTGAAAAAAACGTTTACAATAAACTACAATTTGCTCACAAATTAATCACATGTTTTCCTGTTGTACTTTTCATTAAGTAACATCTGCGTCAAATCTTTCTCCTGAATCACTTGACATTGTCCGTAGAAGAAATGAAATCATTATTGAAACGAGAAGGCGAGATCAAATCATTCCTGCAAACGATATAAATTTTTACGGAAATAATTTTAATCGAATAGATTATTTATATATATACGTAGTCAAGTATGAAAAGCTAATAAACATCATTCATTCACAATATATTTTCACAAACTCATTTACCTTTTCATGGCCAATGTTTGTTCCGAGCTTTCATTGTTTTTTGCTAGAGCCATTTGCATTGCCCAATAAAAAAATTGTTCAAGTTGTTGTACTGATGTATTCTGATTATTTAAAAATGGAATATTTATTTAAAAAAAAAACGATAATATTTACATTTGGTAATGTAACTGATGGTGATGCTAAAACAAAATTTGGTTTAGGTGTTGGAACAAAACTAAGATGCCCATCAACTGTTAATTCATGTAAACCACCGAAATGTACTAATTGATGTTGTTTACGCCATTTAGCACGACGATTTTGAAACCAAATCTAATGAGAAACCAAAGAAAGAAATTCTATTAAATTAGAATAGCAAAAGCAAACTTGAATTTTTTTATCAGGAAGTTTAGTTATAAGCGTAAGATGTTGACGAAGACGTAAATCTGGATAATGTGTTATTTGATCAAAAACATGTTCCAACTGACGAATTTGTTCAAGATCAAATACACTACGTTTTCTTTGTTTTTTATAGTTATCATTAGTTTCTCTCTGCTTATTATTGTCGCTGCTCGTCATGACTGTTGCTTTGATAATAATCGATTCATTTGCTTACTGCTCTCTTCATATAATTAAGTCATAAAGATAAGATATACACGAGTAAACTTAAAGTAAAAGAATTGAATCGTGCTGAATTTAGATCGTAAATCATCACACGGATGCTATAAAATTACTCGTATAGATTAGTAAAATAACGTCAATAGATTTCATCTAGCTATATGTTGAGTTCATGGTTTTTTCTTGGGGAGAAAACTAATCAAATAGGGAAATGATTATTCGAATAACTTTTTGTTTTATATATGCGTGCCTCAAATAGTTAGGTTAATTTATTTATCTATAAAGAATTATATTTGATGGAAAAAAAAGCATTCAGCTAATAGTTTTCCATATTACTTTTATCAATAGTTCTACATTCTAAAATGGTGAGATTTATTTCGACTTGTTTTTATTTTGCTTTATAGTTTGGATTTTTTTCAATATCGATCCTTGGTATTATAATATCTTCTAAATTCGAAAACTTGACGCACCATTCAATTTTCTATTCTTGATTTTTATGATTATATAATCGACAAAGTATTTATTGAAAAAACAAACTAATATTATCGAAGTTTTCATTACACTTTTGCAAACAAGATGAATGCTATCAAAAGCAAAAACATATGTTTTTGATATATATTCAATATAAAGTCACATCAATCATACAACAATAAAATAAAAATATCTATTCGAAGTTGTTGAATAGCTAAGGTATCAAAAATCTTATCATGATAAAACACAGAATAATAGTACGGTTCCGATATACTTTACAGTAAAAATAAGTATTTTACATAAATTCTACTGAGTTCGATCAAGAACATTGTTAAATATATTTCTGCTAACATTGAAAAAGTTGTAAACAAAATATGCCATTTAATTTCTCTTCTTTTGATAAAAAATATCAAGTTTCATTTTATCAGTTGACTTGTCCAATCATCAAATATCTAATAAATATATGGTAGAAAGTTTGTGAAAAATATTTACTCGAAAAATGATTTTTTAACCGCAATTGACTTGCTTTAGTAGTTTCAGGGTCACCAATAGAAATGAACAAAAATTTCGATGAGTTTTGAGAAATCAATATATATTTATTTGTCTGTCTAATTTTGAATGAAAAAAAGATGAGATTTTCAATCTCTTGTAGAAAAAAAGTGCGTGCGCTAGATTCAACTTTTGTTTTTATCATAAGAATGCATGTTATAAACTCATGTAATTTGAAAGATTCATTGAACCACTTAAGAACAAGTATTTTTCATTTCTTAACTAAGTAACGAAAAATTAGAGTTTTATATTAAGAGTAATATTAAACATTGGATTTATTTTCAAGTTACTCATGCTTATAAAAACTATCAGTATTTCGTGACAATGTTTTGATAATAGCATGAAAAATATATAAAGAATTTTCTTTTACAAAGCAGTAAATGTATTAGGTAATCTTTTATATATGCCATAAACCGTTAGTATTGATTTGCTTTACTAAAAATAAATCGAATCATATGAACATATATCATTTCTTTAAAAGTGCTACGCTTTTCATAAAATTCTGTTATCTTTAAAGCTATTTTCGGATTTTACTTATCCTATCCTTTAAATAGTTGATAACGACGAATTGATACATTATAAATGGACAAGTTTTAAACTATAAGCAGGAGTGCCTCGGCTGGGGGAGGGTGTAACGCCTTGATGAGGACCAGAGACGCTACTAATAATAATGCCAGGTGCCACAGTATTGGTTATGGCAGAATGACAACAACGAAAATAGAATAGTATTGAATATTGGATGAAGATCCAATTGTTTATTCAATGAACAGAAATAGTTAAGAATAATAAGAAGCACTCCACATGCAAATAGCTGACACGAGTTCGAACGATTGTAAGGAACAATCGAGTTAGATTGATTGTAAAGAACAATCAAGTTGAAAAGAAAAAGGTAATATGTAATTGATCATTTGATAGAGAAGAAAAAGAAGAATTAGTATATCTCAGTGAAGAGAGATATATCAAGAAGCTTCTAAGAAACTTGAGGAGAAAAAGAGAGTGTAATTATATCTCATTTCTCTGAGTCTAAGCGCGAAAAACGAAATAAAGGTGTCAATGTTGAAAATAACAAGCACGACAATAAGCAATAAGAGAGAACAACACAGAGGAGAAACAACATACATGATACAACAAACATCAAGACAAGATCAGTGACGTTGCTGTCGTCACAGAGGGGTACAGGGATTTTTTCAAAAAAACATTTTTTTCTCAGAACTATTCAAAACATATATAAATCGACTCAGTTTTTGCAGTACACATAACAATCGGATGCAAATCCAATGTTTCCTCATTTATTATTTTCTATAATTAAAACACTATTATCTATTTAAAATTTACTCACATTAATAAAAATTAAGTGATGATGTAAGAAAATAGCAACCAAAAATAAAACATTCAATTTCGATGCCATTCAAATATATGTTATGACTTAATGAATGGTAATGTGGAAGACTTGTAGTATATATAGATGTGTATGATTGTTCCAGAAGAAATAATAATTGAATAGAAAGAAATATTTCCCACAGAATTCTTTCTTTCATCTATTTTTTCTCATCATCATCGTCATCAATAGTAGAAAAAGAAGTACATTAGAGAAAAACGAGAGATGAGGTTGATTGGTACTCTTCTATTAATAATATCTCTCCCTATGATTACGCATGCAGTATTGACTCGTAAACTATCCGTATATATATATATATATATATGTACGAAGTTACTATACTATTAAAGAGGACGAACAGATAGACGAGTCAAATAACATATATACAAAGCTCCTGTTCGTGTATTATAATCTATCGTGTATTGAATAAGAATGAGAACAAGCATATAATAACCAGTTTCCTTAATAACGAGAACCTACGAGCCTTACGAGCAGATGATGGATAAGGGACGAATGAAAAAGCATTATCCTAGCCTTGCACATGAGGTCAAGCTTATACCTAACATCCGCATTTTTACATAATGAACATCTGTACTTGTACCAATGCACATGTTTATCATATGAATATACATGTATATATAAATCCATAGTAAGATATTAAACTTTATATCTTTTTATTAAGATACAATTGAAAACGTATACTGCCTAGTTGTGCAATTTTATCATAAAAAATATTAGCACCAAACATCCGACATTCAACTGAGATTAACACATGTGGTGTAATGTTTCTAAATTGTATCCATACGTATGGAGTTTGATAAACATTATTTCGATCATCTTTACCACTAGATAAATTAAATTAAATAAAAGGAAAGAAACAACTATCAAACAAACTATTCAATACTTATAAGGAAAATGTTTGATATCAATTGAACCACACACATCACTTGATTCTGATTCGCTATAATATTGAATCTTGCCAATCATATCTTGATCGAATGGATTCTATTTTAAGTGTACACATTGTTGAATATGATTTGAAACATTTCAAAGCAAACCTCTCCCATACATCGAACTGGAATATTAGATATACCAATGCATTCCGAGTCGTCATGTCTATTATTAGCATGAATTTTTCTGACTTCTGGTATAAAACCGATAAGCTTAGAAATCGAAAATCTTTAGTAACAATAATGGCAAAAGAATGGACAAGCAGACTTTGTTTATTTTTATTAAAATACATGGTTTGCCATCTGTATAACCATAGTGATTATTTGAATTACAATCACCGACATCATGAATAGTAAAATTTTTAGAGTTTTGTGCATTGGTGTTATCTAATATGAATAGAATTCTCATAAATAGTCAAGTTCTTGACTATTTTATTTCTTTTTTTTTGAATCATTTATCACATACAATTATTTAAAAAATCATCAAGATTCTTTGTGTACATCTCAATATTATCATTCATCGGATATTTTTCATCACTTGATGATAACCATATCAATGCCAATGGATTTTTTAATGTTAAACGGACTTGTGGTCGGATACTGAGTCCTGAAAAAAATGAAGAATCAAATTCACAACAGTCGAGTCTTCAATGAATAAAAGACCTGGGGAAAAAGGGTTACTACGAGATGTTAATTGACTATCTTTGCCTATGTATCTTGGCTGATTTATTGGTAAAAATATCATAAATATCGATAAATACAAACAAAACATGCCACCAAGGACAACATAGAAACAAAAATAGAAAGCAGCTAATTTGCCTAGAATAGAAATCATGATAAATGAATAGGTACTATTTTATTATTATTATCATACTCCATCGTTTTCCATCACGTCCAAATAGTTCATGGTGTTCTTTATTATAAATAAAATTACCCAATGAATGAGAATTTTTATAGATCGTTGACCAAAAATCACGACACCGTTCACCAATCGAACGGCGCCGTTTAGAATTTGTTTTTAAATGCATCGAATTGAATTGAATTGATTATTTAATTAGATTTCATTTCATGGATACAAAATAGAAATCTAATGATCATTATTTCATGTTGTCTTCCTTTCTAATAGAAACAAATTAGATATCGTCGTTTGCCAACCGTTTAAGATTTTGATAATTGTCAAAGAGTCAACATTATAATACAGACTCTCTGAGCAACAATCAAAACGTAGAGACGGTTTGATGAACCAAATAAATCAAACTAAAATATCGGAGTGATCATCACTGCATTTATATATCATTCGGACTATAAAGGAAAAAAAGAATCAAGAGAAAAAAAAATCATTTTTTTCATTTGCTAGCTGGTGGCAACAACTGACGCACAAATTTTAACACTCAATTGATGATGAAGAGAAAGGAATATGTGAATTTTCTTTTTTTTTTTTTATAAAGAAGGAGGAGCACGGTTATTGTTAACGGTGATAGATGGTCACAGATGGACATATTCTATTGATATAAGAAGAAGAAGAAAAGAGACGAAGTATATGCACTGCTGATGCAAAGAATGATGATAATGATTATTGAAAGTCATTTGATTATGCATACTTTTCAATTGTTATCGACCTCGAATGAATGTATCAGCGCGATGTAAAGGAGAAAAAAAGTCCATTTATTGAAAACCAATGATAGAAATGTCCTTTAATTTTAATGATTTTATTCACCTCAGCTTGAAATTGTAGTTCGTTATCATAAGGCTATTTTTTCTTTGACATTGTCTACATCGTCGGTTAATTTATTGTCTTATGAATGCATGAAGGACAGTAACCATATTTGGCAACGATATCTCTAGCAGAATGATTAAACAAAAAATGAAAATCGCTGGTCGTTATTGGAACACATGCATTATTCATGAATGAAAAAAGAAAAGTAAATTTTTCTTTTACGGAAAATTTGATATTCGAAAAACAACAACATTAAATATATTTATATGATTGATTTGACCTTCGAACAATTATAACAATATAACATATGATAGCGATTTATTTATTTCCTGGACGTTCCTTAGAAGGCTGTTTACGCAGTTGTTTTCGTAAGCAAAGCGACAAGGCCATGACGATCGAGTTCTATGCACACGTATATCGAGTAGCAATAGAGACTATTATTTACCTTACAGTTCTGTCTGATAGTATTTACATAAACATAAATGAGACTGTAAATGTCATGCTTTATCTTATTTTGACATACTAATAAGTTAATAGACAGTTTTGAATTGACGAACTATTAGTTCTGATGGTAATCTAGTCTTGACAGATTTATACTATAAAGAAAAAAGCTGTTATGATTGTAACAGCGAATTTTACTTAAGCAAAACAATGAAATATAACAAAAAAAAAGAGGCTGTTGCGTTTAAGAATTTTCATCATCACTATTATTAAAAACAATCTTTTTTGCTTCTGATCTTTTTATAGCATATTGGGATTTTGCTTGTCGACTTGCTTCCCATGATGGATGAATAGAAGTGCTATTCGAATCTTGTGCTTCTGATTTTTGATTGTTTGCTACACCTAGTTTAGAAGAAAAACATATTTATCAATTTTAAAACAAAACACTAATATACCATCGGATTTTTCCTTTGTTGGAGTTTTATTAGATGAACGAGGTCTATTCGGTAGTGATAAATGGGCCCATTTTCTTTTTGCGATATCTCCACCACCGTCACGTCTATTTGATGACGATGAAAGTGCATCAACAAAATACGAATGTTCAATGAAAGCTTTATCATCAAGATCACCATCATTTTGATTTCGACTTGTTCGTTTTTGATATGTTATTTGATGTTGACTATTGAGAAAGAATGGATCATTAATTGTTGTGGTTGCTGACGATGAAATAGTGTTCAATTCTGTTTCTACTTTTTCTGGTTCTTCCATTGGTTTTTCTTGATCATCGTTTTCATTTTCATCTTCATCTTCCATTGTATTGTTTCCAAATGGTTCAGCAGTTTTATTTTCAAGGTCAAGTACACAAACAACAGCTTGTTTCGAACGTTTTACTGAAGGTTTCTTTTTTTCTTTTTTCTTTTTAATTTTCAATGGCTTAGGTAACTTTTGTTCGATTTCGTCTAATTCTTTTTGTTGATCAACAAGAGCTTGTTCAATTTTTTTAAAATCTTCGGATTTTTCTTTCCACGCTAAACGTTTTTCGTAACGAGAACGATACATAATAAGTAATTGCTGCCATGATTTTGCATAATCGTTGTCTGTCTTTAACGACATGATATCGGCTTGAAGTGATTTTTCTGTTGCTAATCGTATTAATGCATGCTGTTTGATATCATCATTAGTTGGCTACAGAAAAGACATACATATCGTATTTATCTATGACTAATGTAGAAACAGTTTGACTACAGAAGAAAAATACAGATTAATTTCATCTTATAAAAAAGTATAATTAAGTAAAAAAATACTCAAGCATCTCTTCAAAGATTACTTCAAATATTTGTATGTTTGAATTTAATAGAAAATTTGAAGTTTATTCTATTGTGATGAATGAAATAGAAATAGAGAAAAAAAAGCATGTTGTCTATGTAACAAAAGATTCGTATTGTATTGTATCCTAATTTTGTTAGTCAATATATTCTTGAAATTTTATCTGCTGGAAACTATCAAGAAACTGACAAGCTGCGAATAGTCTGAAAACTATTTTGATCATTATCTGATTACTGGGAAGGTATAATATTTTCGATTTTTTAATAGAAGTTCGGCATCGAAGTGAGCTTTAACAAAAGAAAATTACAGTACAAATTGTATACCTGATGATTTATTCTTATCCTGAAATAAGGATATAAAATCTATTAGCGTGTATAAATAGTATAAAAGACAAGCGGTAATGATAGATACATATCTTTCAATAGAAACCAAGACAAATATTGGCACTTTCACAATAAACTGCTGTTATTGTCTGCGATTGCTGCACAAAGCTCGAATATGAAATCAAACGTCGGTTTTTTAAAGAAAAATTGAAACATAGAGTTGAAAAATATCATGCCGATGACATAATTCAGCATCAATCGTTTTTCACGGAATGTATAGAACGATCTGTTCTACGATGTGAAGATGATTCCGATTCAAAAGAGACTAATCGCTTCGAGAATTTTCCGTCGTTACGTTGATTTACATTTAGCATGCACAGTTCTAATTTAGCTGTAAAAACTAAATGATTTCAAGCATGAATAAATCATTCACTAGAAAAATTATTTTTAGTTTCGTAAACATGTAAATTTTAATATCGTACTCTTTTGATTTATCAAATAAGAAAGAATACGTCTATCTTGCAGTACATATATTAGTCCTTCATTTTTCCTTCACCTTTGACTAGCTAGTGCTCTAGACTGAAAGTCAACCTATTCCATAGTTCTTGTGTCGTCTATGCAATCTAATAGATGACTATTAGAGAATTACCTCACAGTCTCGTCAATGTGCTATCAGACAAACAATTCGAGACTAATAGCCTTCAGTGGTCGAATCATTTAACCGTGACGACAAAAGGTTGTAAAGCTTGGTTAATGAAATTATCAAAATCGCACTTGAGAAAGTTCACAGAAATTCTATGCAACAATGTTTTATTTTTACTTTGCATTTTTGTAGAACCTCAGCTATGGTTCCTTCATTTTCCATTGCAAATAAGACGACATCTTTGTTAGGCAATTTCTAAAGAGAGACAAAATAGTAATTGTCATTTCAAACAAAATACAACAAAAATTTTTATACTCGTATTTGATGAATTTCTTCAATAATTCGTTTCACTTTTCGTATTGTACGTTCATCATCGGGATTTCTAATTAGAAATAATGTTAAATTGAATATTTTAAATGATATTAAAACTATATACTTTTTACGCTCATTTTCAATCTGTCTCGTTAATTTTCGAATTGACCGAACTTTGCTTCGTTTCACTGATTTTTCTAGATCGGTAACCTTTTTAAACAAAAACAAAAGAGTTCAGTTTGATGCATTGTTTTTCTTGTTCCAATCTATCGTCTCATACCTTATTATTAAATGAAATTAAACTCATCTGAAACAAAACCAAAAAAGAAACTAATAACACGTTTTTTATTTTATTTTAACGAAAAACAAAAAAAAAAGATTTTATTTCTTTCGTGGTATAATTTTCGTTTTTTTCTTTTCATTTGATTTTTCATTTTCATTATCCGACCAGAATGCATCGTCATCATCATCTTGCTTTGGATTCTAAAAGAACAATTTCTTATTCACTTTAACTTGATAAAAAACAAACTATTCGTTACTTTAAGTAACAGTTTATCTTCCATTGCTGATTCAACTTGTTCTAATTTTTTTTCACGTTCTATACGCTTTTGTAAGTCTGAATATTTTTTCTTGCGCATCTTTTGAAATTTCTAAATAGTAAACATAAAAATGAATTTTTTTTCGTCAACAAAAATTTAGTAGTAATAAATATAAATACGTTAATTTGTTGTTCATCTAAGTTAATTTTTGTTGATTTTAGTTGTTCAATGGTTAATCGATTTGACCGACGGTTAATCAATGATGGATGTGTTCGCATCTGCTTAACTGGATCAAATTTCTCAACTAAATTAATTAACAATGTAAAAGAAAACCAAAAATATTCTAATTCGAAAAACAAACAAACCTTGTTTCTGTGAATCAACAAAAAATATATGTGATTTAGATGGACGATATTCAGAATCTATTAAATGTGATGATGTTTGTAATTTATCAATTTTTTTTCTTTCCATTTGATGTTTATATTTTATATATTTTAAATCTTGTGTTTGCATCAATTTCAATTGATCTTCACTATATTCTTTGTACTTTTTCTTTAGGCTATGAACACCACTCTAAATTAGACAAAATATGATTGAAAATAAACAGTATTATGGAGTTGTAAAAAAATTAAGAAAAGAATGATTAGAGCATTTGGAACCAGAAATTAGAAGATCGAGATATTAGTCTTACTATGATCGAAACCATGCGGATTTGAGTGAATATAAGACCGGTGCTATCAAATTTAGCCTATCTAGTACAAACCTACAATATGCTTTTGGCTAACGACAATAAAATGAAATCCTTCGTAAGAATCTCCATCGTTGTCGCAAGTGGCGATAGTCAATGCCGCTTCTATTCAAAACAAGAATCAGAATTTTAATTCATTAGGCTGATTCCTGTTATCTCTAGATCACTTGATTGTTTGATCTTACATCTCATCGGATCCGAAATGTTCCAATTCTGACGATTTGATCTGTATTCATTAAATTAGTCTCACAATAACTTAGCTGTGGTCTATACGTAATTAATCATTATTTCTAGTATAGTTATGCTTCGATTCGATCCGACATCGAATGCATCTGAGTAACGCGAGTACTCTCAAGCTTGTACTAGAGCCATAGATGGTACTTTGACACAATTAAAAATAATACTGCCGTTTCATTAGTAAAATTGGGTAATGATTTCGATCCAACACACTAATTATTCTATGCTTGATATGTTACCTGGAGCACGAATAGAACTACGGAATCTAGTTATTTCCAAAGATTCTTTACAAGTATAACATGTTTTTGACAATTCATAAGATATGATTTGGATAATCTCATCAACTCTGTGAAGAGAGACTTGACATATCATGTTGCTTCTGTAGAGTTGCACCAAAATGTATCCTTCGCCTTTTAAGAATGAACATTCAGTTAGGGGAAAATCAATTGAGTTTTCATCAATTATCTCTGAAACGAACAATTAAAAATGGCAATCAGCTTTGATATTTTCTGTTCATGGTCGAGTCTCTATGAATGACTCATAAGAACCGTTAGAATATTTCATATTCCTGTTGAGAAGATTTTGCAAGACGAATATATGCAAAACATAATCAACCTTGATTAAACAATGGTGAGAAAGACTCGAAGCCGACGAGATATTCAACAAAACTCTGTTACAGGCTCCTAGTGAATGCAAATGTGAATCTTGCTATTTCATTATGTTAAACTATTAGATGAATGAGAATTGAAAAAAGAGAAAATTTGATATACTTTTAATTTAGTATTGACCATATTGAAGTAGTATTCTTCGGGATTTTTATCCAAAGCTTTTTTCTTAAGCTCACGTATCACATTTCCTTTCGTTTGATAGTCACTAGAAAAGAAGATAACGGCAAATTTCAGAAAGAAAATCATTCACTATTTTACTTACATAGCTCTTTCTTTGTAATCTTTCTTTTTTTCCAGTAAACCTAAATGTTGACGGGTCGAAGGCTAGAATGCAATTTAGATTTTAATGGATTATATATGTAAGATAAAATGAAATAGATTTACTTGAGATCTTTCTCGATGTTGAACTTGACCAACTTTGCTCGATTTTTTCCATGATGACATGATGATAATTATTGAAACAGAATTAAACAGAAATGAATTTCTTTTGATATACAATTTTCATGATAAAATTTCGATTGATCAGATTTTTTACCCCAATTGTATTCGCTTATAACTAGAGGTCGTTCTTTATCGATCAAGCGATATTGATAGTTTGCTTCGTTCTGTTTTACTTTCTGTGAAATTTTTCATCTTCTAATTTTTTTATGTCTCGTTTATAAAAGCTTTGACAACGCTATGCGAGCGTAATATTATTATTTCTATTGATTTCATCATGTGGATCGTTACGCACATATGTAAAACATGATCGTTGTGCGAAATAAAATAGAAGTCTGTATCATTGCCTTGTATTTTGCCCATATGTTGTATGTAATCGCCATGTGGAACTTGTCGAAAACATACAAAATATCAAAGTCTTCTTTTTTACTGTTCTGTTTCAGTTACCCTTGCGTGGCCACGACTACAATACATGTTTGAACAATAGTGCCATACTGCAAAGAATGAATAAAGTGAATTCACACTTATCAACAACTTTTGCCACAATGCAACCAACTTTTCGTCGACGTTATCTAACTATTATTTGTGCAATTATCTTAATTTTTCCTTTATATTTTATTATTAATTCCACGCAATCAAAACATAACATCAATAATGAGCGCATAACGAATTTATTAAAATTAGCTGAAAAAAAATCATTTTGTTCGGAAAAATCAGTTCGACGAGGTTTTAATCAACATGTATTAAGTGTGTCTGCTTATGAATCAAATGATCGTGTTGAACTGAAAACAAATCTTACTTGGTCTTATATTCATATATTTACCAAGGAAGCAAAACAGTTTTATCCATCATGGGTTGTACGGGTTTATTATTATAATTTAATAAGCAAAACAGCAGATGACATAGCAGAGTTAGAAAAGTTATATGATAATATTGATTTTTGTCCTGTCGAAAATTTACCTGTCTTAGGAAACATGAAAAATAAATTGCCTGGAAAAATTCAACGTTTTTTACCTGCTAGTAAGTCAAAAGAAAATCGATTTTAGATTTAAATAAATGTGGAAACATTGGATTTAAATCCGAATGTTGTGTGTACTTCAAAAAGTAAAACTAATTGATGACAGATTGATTTTGATCAAACTATCTAAACAAATAAAAAACAAAGTGAATATACCGTTTCACTGTTGAAAGTACGCATAACACTCGGATTTAAATCCGAGGTTTTGGCACTTATTCTATGAGACATATATCTCATCAAGATACATCCCTTGTCACTAAATTGCAAGGAGAAAATACAGGCGTGCTAAGTTAGCATGGATCACACTGTATGCGACCCGATCCAGTGACCGCTGACTCGACTCTCAGAGAGATATAATATTTTTAGAGATCACAGAAGTTGAGTTCAGATTCGTGTTCAGCTTGGAAAACTGGTTGAGAAGAGTTATTTTTGAATGGATTTGCATTTGTATCTAGCGGAATTACAATCGTAAGCAATCTCGTGAATCTATAAAAGATATATGATGGATACAGGCATCAGTATTTTCCTAATAAATCACCAATATTAATAGCTATCGAGTTCGGGTTTTAACGTTTCGATAGTCCTTTTGACTAGCTACAAAACCAGGCATTCGGAAAATCCTAAAACTACTGGTCATCTGAGATATATCTAGGTAATTTGGTTTCTGGATGCAGTTTTTGTGCATTTTGAGACCTTTCTCAGACGATATTTTGTTAGAAAGCTACGATTTGGTTCTAAATTAATATCAGATTTGGAATCAACGTTAAAAACTGAGTCGATTTATATATGTTGTGAATAATTCTGATAAAAGATTTTTTTTTGAAAAACTCCCTGTACCCACTCTCAGGGATGGTCTGGTAAAGAATGACAATTTTTTCGACAACTCAGCCATTTCTTAACGGATTACTTTCATCTTCGAACTCGACTGAGATATTGATGAGATCATTCTGTGTACAAAATTTCATGACAATTGGATGAGACTTTCAAAAGTTATCATGTTAATGGACGGACACACTGACTGAATCTAGTGTACTCACTTTTTGAGCACACAGAAAACAACCTTGAATTTGAGGAATAATAAATAAAATAACTAAAGATGATATTTATTCTCCTAGAAAAGATAAAATTTGATTATTATTGAAGAGAAATTTATTTTATTGGTTCGATATTTCAAGTAAATTTGCTTAATAATTGGCCTGCTTTACTTAGTATTCATATCATTCTTTTGATCGAACAAATTTTAGCATTTTTGTTTTAAATAATTGACTATTTTTCTAGTGCTTATTCTGCTCTTCTTCACCAAAAGCGTAGTTTATTTATCTTTTTATGCATCGTCTACCATACTTAGAAAGCCAGATGTCTGTCGATAATTTATCATAAATTACTCGTAAAAATTATCAAACTTAATAAAGACGTGAAATAGTATTTGATGAAGAAGTATCCTAGATCGAAGCACGTAGTTAGAATATTTGATGATTCAAAAAAATTAATTTCACCAAAGAATACCGTCATTATTTTTTTGGTGTATCAAACACGAAACTCTCTTGCATTCAAGATGTAAAGTGATACGCAGAATCTAAATATTTAATCAATCTATTTTAAAATAGATAGCTTTTATTGACTAATCGATTCGTTTCAATAGAAGAAATGGAACAATGACGACAACCGTACGTATATTTATCAGTCAACACAAATAATCAATAAAATGGTAATCGTTTTTCACCGTTAGTCATGAGCAAAGGAAAGTTACGCTTGTGCAGTCCTTCACTTAGTAATAGATCGCTTGAAAATTTCTCGATTCAATTATGTCCTTCTTTAAAAACTACGCTGCAAAAATAAACCATAAAATATAAAGCTTAAACGAAGGTATTCGAGATGAAGCAATCCGAATATATTACCAGATTTTTGAAATAATTTACTTATTTCGCTCCAAGAGAAAGTCACATTAGACAAATTTTACTAAGAAATCACTTATAAAATTTTCAATAACATAACTTATTCGATTTTTATGAATTCCAAGTGGTTTTGGCGAATTTTTACAATTTTTGTATAATTTTTTGAAGAATACGTTTTTGCTGAAGAATATTGTTAAATACTCTAAGACCAGATAACTGATGATGCAAGAGCCATTTTCTTTGCTAATGAATAACAATGAAAAATAGTAACCTTATTATTCGCTACCATCATAAACCGATAAATATATCAACGGTCACCGGTATGAACTGGTAACAGAAAACCAATATTTTATTGCCATTTTTGCATCTTTAGTTAATAGGATGCACTTGAATTGTAAATTAAATATATATATATTCACACCACTCTGTTTTATTGACTAGAGCACTTTGAATCTTCTATTGTATCAAGATATTACCAAGCGTGAAGGATAAGCGTAGGAATGTTCCCAAAAGATTGTTGAAAATTTTTATTGAAAACATTTTTCATAAAAGAAAAGCATTTTTAGATATTTATAAATGTTTTGAAATAAAATTTGTACCAGGTTTTTAAGAGTTTCATTTTTAAGTTTTGAGAACTAGATATATTTTTAATGAAATACTTTAGTTAACATTCTAATTTTTAACTGTAATAAATATATTGACGAGCATCTATGATGTCAACTAGACATTTATTTACTGTGGTTTATTTTATCGAATAGCTGAAATGTAAAGAATACTTTCTCTTACTATTCTAGGAATTTCCATAGATTGCTTATTGATTGAATAGAACTTCGATATTTTTGTTTTTCTAAATCGATTGATTTAAACAGATATTCAAAAGTATTAAAACAAAGTATTTTTAGTTGATCCACTCGTTGGTGTATCGATGGTTCGTGACCTTGATTCAGAAATTTTTGAGCGTGAAGTTCATGCTGTTGACGAATGGTTGTCAAAAACGACATATGCATTTCATATAATGCGTGATCATTATTTACATAATATTGAAATGCTTGGCGGATTATGGGGCGTAGCATTAAATCGCCTTTCATTTAATGATCGATTAATTATGGCAAACGCTCTCTTACCATCAGATAATGAAAATGACATAAGAAAATTTTATAAAACTTACGCTGGTGAAGGTGATCAAATATTCTTAAAGGATCATATATTTCCTCTTGCTCGTCATAATTCTCTTGCACATGATTCGTTTACATGTTTTTGGTCGCGCTATATTTATCGAATGGACACCCGCCCTTTCCCGACTCAACGTCAGCATCCCTCATGTTTTGTTGGTTGTCCAAAACCATGTTGTACTCCTGAATTGAAAAAAAACCGAAACTATTCTTCGTATACAAAATGTCCGTCAATGTGTCGTCCAAAAGAACATAATGATTGGCTATTTTGTTAATCTATTTTAAAATTTACAATAAGTAATTAGACTATAGATATTACCGTCATCATGAATGATTTCTGATAAACTCAAAAGATTTATATGTATTCATCAAAACTTGAATGTATCAAGGAAACGTTTAAAATGATAAAAAGTCTTCTAATGTCAATATTAATTTAATAACAAATCAATTACTCTATTTGATTTGCGGTCTAATTATTATGATTCTATTATCTATTGATCGTGTGCAGCCAAAAAAATTTTTTTTTTAATAAGAATTTTAATTTATTTTAATAATAACAATAACCTAATTTAGCAATAAATCCAATCAAGATGATTTTTCGGTCTACATTGTTCAGGACACGGTATTTTTAATAGAATATTTGATGAATTTTGACAGCAAGGTCTAACACAGCCTACATGACAGTCTCTTGATGACCTTTGCGTAGGAAAAGGATGTTGATGTTCTACTTGAAACTGTTGACATGTATACGAATCAAATGCTAATGTTTGATGTTTGATTTTTGGCCATATTAATTCAGTTAAGAGACTTTGATCATGAACTGAAGAATATTTTTGTACCTGGTTTTTATCAAGTAAAATACTAAATGAATGAAGAAACAATAAACGATTTCTATGCAATGCACTTGTCCATAAACCTCCAAGTATTGGAATTCCATGAAAAGGATGATCACGTATTGTTAAAAATAGGTGAGATGAATTCACGAATTTTTCAACGACTATTTGTTCGCGTTTTGTTAATGGTGAATCAAGATCACGTGATGATACAAAATCAACCATCGGATCAAGTGCTGGTAAAAATCTCCACAGCTTTCCAGACAAATATTCTCCAACATTGCCAATAATTGGTATTTGATTAATATTACATACATCAATATTGGAGGACAAGCTCGATAATTTTTTTAAATTTAACCGACTTATTGTCAACTCGTCAGCATATAAACGTATTATCCATGTTGGAAATAATAGTTTAGCTTCGTCGATAAATGGAAATATAAACTGTGAAAAATTTTCATCGTTATATAAGGAGTTTTCTTTTGGACCAAATATTGATAATGCTATAATTCGTTGTTTAGAGCCACGAAGACTAGCTTCTGTATTACATAGAGTTTTATTACTATTATAAAGAATATCAGTTAATGTCGAACAAACATCTGTTCCATCTGTATATTGTGATTGCATTCGAGCATAAAATATTGAATAAATCATTGACATTGTACATAGGAAAAGTATGATTATTAATAAATATCTTTTATTTGCGCAACAGTTATAAACTATTTGGGATAAATTACGTGAAAGTGAACTTTGAAATTTTTTTGATTGAACACGGAACATTGTAAAAAAGAGACAAGAAATATTAACTGGAATAACTAATACAACAAGCGTTTAATGCGCTGCTATTTACTACAATTACAAATCGATTAAAGGAGAGACATAAACGTGTCAAACATACAAGTGTAAAAAATCATTATCGAGCATTGTTCCTTCTTCTTCCTGTTCTTTGCTTAATCTACCGTGGAGCATTCTTCCAGCCAAAAATATATCGATACTAAGAAAGAAAGAAAGAAAGAACTATTGCTCGGCACTCGAAATAAAATTGATAAAAAACAGGAAAGAAAAAATAAGAAGGACGGAAACGGGTTCAAAATGCATCGTTCTTGTTCTTTAGTAATAATTATTATATATACTGGGTCTTACATCGTATTCAATTCATATATATGCAACTATTTTTCTATAGTTGACTACAAGCTCTCTAACTTGGCGCTATTTTTTCTCGTCTTTTCTTTCTTTCCTCGACTCAATGAGTATGAGAATAAACTAATACGACTCTTCCAGTAATTTAATTAACTAATTCAAATCAAGGGGGAACGGTGGATTTGTTGGGATTTTAAATCTAAAAGGTCCCAAAATTGAAAAGCATTTTTCCTTCCTGTTAATGACGTAGTTTCGACCTAAAATTCTTCCGCTACATAGGTTTCATGGATCATAGAAGATCGTAAAAGTTTCGACTCGAGCAAATGTTTTCTTCTTAAAATATTGAATTTTCAAAAAAACTGGATTTTCTGACGGTGCCATGAAATGAGCATTTCTTGCGCATTCATTATCTTGAGAAGGAAAGATCTGTTTGCGCTAAAAATTGTAGAATGTTCTAAGGATCATGAGACCTACACGTGGAAAAAATTCAAATGGAAATTCCATCATTCACGGTTTGGATTTTGGGATTTTGAAAATCCTAGATCCGCCTTTTCCCCCTTGAATTCGAGTACTCTTACCTTAACGTTCTCAAATTTTCTTTTTCTTACATGCATTCAAAACAAGAGTTTGATGTTTTGTTTTCAAAGTGAATTTCAAGATTAATTGGCCAAATATCATTGCCACTTCTATAAAATGATGAATCGTATGGAAAAAAAAATTACCATACAATTGAAATACTTTTTTATTTGAAGAATAACACTAAAATAGTATGACGCGTCTGAAAGAAAAGAATTGCATCTCACTTAAGAATTTCTAAATGAAGTATTTTAATGATATTTTAACCAAAACATGCAAAAATAAAAATATTAAAAAACTTATATTACATAGAAAGAGCACAAAATGAATACCTAAATCAGAATTGACTTTGAAATTCGAATCAATTTAGAATGCATGAATCCATTGTAGAATACTTTCTGAGAAATACAACTAGGTGAATTAATGCTCTATGCTTCGCGTCGCATTAAATAATTCCTAGTAGAAGTTCACAAAAATGAAATAAAGCACATAAACATTCTTGATGTTTTCTCTGGTTTTGTCGGACGTTTACAAAAAATTAAAAATTCTTGTGGTGCATATATTTTACTATTTTTTGGACTGTTCGATGTCGAGTCCATCCGGTTTATCGTTTCGGTGGGAAACGATAGAAAAAAGCTTCAAACTTTTCCGATCGCTATACGTCTACGTCCTTTCTACAAGTCTTAATCTGGTATATATCTATGTGTATCTCCAAATCTGTACATCTAAATCTTTACGTCTTAAACCTTACGGTTTAATCTCTAATCTACTACATGTCCTAATCTAGTACGTCTTAATCTATACATCTTAACCTGTACGTTTAAATATAGTACGTCGTAATCTAATTCGTCTTAATTTATACGTCGTAATCTAATGCGTCTTAATCTTTACATCTAAATTAATACAGAAAAATCCTCACACCTCTTCTAGCTTACCCTATCTAACGATACCATGGGATTTTAGCAGTATCATCTGGGATGCAAGTGGCATCATCTGAGATGCTAGCAACATCCCCAGATTTGCTAGTAGTATTGCCTGTAATGCTAGTTAACACCTGGACTTCTAGCAACATTGCTGGAACCGCTAGCAACACCACGTAGGATGCTAGCAGCACCATGTAGAATACTGCTTGCATCATCTGTGAAACAGCTGCATCCGAAATTTGCATGTTGAACTTCACGATGGGTAAATGTAGATGCCACTGTGTACACAGAGACAAGCGTTGGCTGCGGCTCTGCGGGGGTGAGGGGTGCAGCGCCCCCACGCCGCGACACTAAAATAAAGGGTTGTTGTAGTTACCCATTATTTTTCTATACATGATATCGCATTACTTATCATTGGGCGCTATCTTTTCTTTTTTTCTTGAGTTTACGTGGGACTTAATTCGAATTTGACAATTGATGTGTGTCTCAGACTCTCAGGTAATGCCTCTAGCATTCCAAGTAAGGGTTAAGCGGAGGGAATACTTATGGATGGACATAAAGATTTATCGATACTGGTTTAGACGTACTAGATTAGGACGTACAGATTAGGATATGATAAATAAAGTTGAGCTGAGAACACAATGACTGTGACTAAAGTATCAGTTTATTGGAGATTTAGACGTACTTTAGATTCCTTTCCGAAATCATTTTCTGCTGTTCCATTAGCGTTTCCCGGAGAAATCATAAAGCGGATTATATGTCGATGTCCTTTGAAGTTAGCTAGTAGAGTGATCAAGCAAAAACATATTGTAACACATCATGTGATTTAATTCTGAATAAGAAAAGTTTTACTCAATAGATAACCAATGTAGCGTGTTATCACAAAATGTGTGCATGGCCTTCATCGATGTTCTTTGTATTAAGTCAATTTAGATTGCATTTTTTGATTTGTTATAGCTTTATTTTGGTTACTTCCTCTATTCTAACATCATTATGAATGGCAAAATCAACTGAAATGAAATACTAATCAATCTTTTTTAGAACAATCTGATCTCAAATTCATCCAGTACGATTACATGCCATACAATATTGATTATACTATTCGGACAAAAATTGACAAGAACTGCATGTTAGAATTGTAGTGGTCCCCTACAATTCTAAACGGAGATTAAGTTGTCTTTTCTAGTATAACGGTAGTACATCTGCCCGGATAGCAGAGGATGTGTGGTTCGAACCCCACGAAAGGATTATCTTTTTCTCCGTTCTGTGGTCATATCATCTCGCTGCTAGTCCAGCATGTAACACTACAATGCATGCTACTCGATTATTTGCATTAGCCTTTGCTCCGTTTATCAGAACCAACGGTAGGACTTATCACTTTCGGATATACAGATATGAACTAGATGGTATTCGAGTTTCACTCGTATACGAAATGCGGTGCGAAGCACGAGTCGAGTACCCGCAAAAATAAAAAATTTAACGGAAATGGAACAAGCAATCTTAAAATTAATTAGACATCGTTATGGTCTGATTAGTTTCATATTCGCTTGAAGTATACACCTTTTCCTGTCTTCAGCAGTTGTAATAAAAAACAAAAAATAATTAATGCGGTGCGAAGCACAGCATTTATGTAGTCCGTCGCGAGTTTTTTTTTTAATGCGATGCGAAGCAGAAGCATTTATGTTGTCCGT